ACAGGATTCTTCCTCCTGTTTATCCAGAGGCTTGGGCTCAATGGAATTCTGCCATGTCACTGTGCAAACCTCTAGAATCTAGCCTTTGCGAAGAACATATAGTCAGCGCTCATTTCTTAGAAAGGGTGGGTGAGGATGAACTCCTAATGTCTGAGGTAGCTCCCCGTCTGCGCTCTTTTTTGCCGTGGAGCAGACATACGTCACTGCAAGTGGAACCAACTTCACAGTTTTTATAACTTTTTTTTTTTTTTTTTTTTTTTTTTTTTTTGTAGCTGCGGCCAGAGACACGTTGCTCTCAGGATTTGGGTATCTAGCTACTGTTTTGTTTTATTGGAGAGTAGTTGGGTTTGATGCCCACTGGGACCTTTTGACCCCAGCAAAACTTTGCAAGGTGTAGACTGGGATTTCCCAAACCTGACTCTGTCCCCGTGGGACCTTGCAAAACTGCAGATATGAGTGAAGGGAAGGAGCTGGCGATTCTGCATTGCTAATGAGCTCCACTTCATAAGGATCTGTTGAAGGAGCTATTCAAACACCCTTCCAGAAAATTCCACTGATTCATCCAGGATAGCAAATCGTAATAATGATTAAAATGATGTCCTCCAATTGGTTTGGCAACCACCAGGAGGGTCATGGAGAGCTTAGCATGGGAAAGCAGGTAGAGACCGCGTGGCTCCAGACAGCATGGGGTTAGCTGAAGGCATCCGGTGACCGCCGTATCCCATTTAGCTTACAGGCCTGAAATAAAGGCTCATCTCAGGTGAACTTGATCCCCCATGCCGATGTCACTGGAATTCAATCCTAAGTACAGAAAAATCTCTTCGTGAGCAGGCAAACCTGCGTGGAGGCAGAGTAGAGGTTAGGAATAATACTGGTCTCTTTCTAGGGAAGCCTTGAAACAAAAACTAACAGAAAAATAACTGACTTCTTGCCACAAGGAAGGAATTTGGATGCGCGTTCGATCAAATGGTGCAAATTCCAAGAACACCGAAGGTCAGGTGTTTCTTATGTGTGAGCACACTGATTGAGGGAGGCTGGTCTCATCTGTGTCATCACAGAGAAGGGTAATCAGTTCATCAGAGCGCGGGATGGTGACGCGCTTGTTTCCAAGCTTGCAGTTCTCTGTCCCACTCATTCAGGAAGAGTGTCTCAGCCAGAATGCTCAGTCACAGTAGTGGGAGGTAGCGACTTCTGCTCCACATTCAGAAGCAGTCCTCTCCTATGCAAGTGTGCTTCAGGGACAAACCGTAAATAAATATCGGAAGTGTTTCCCACAGTTCCTTCCAGTGCTCTTTGTTAAGAGAGTGAACCGGAGATCTCCACAGCACATTGGAGGCCCCAAAGGGGCGGATAAGGTCTGCTATGTTTAGGCTCAGGATCACACTGTGTATAAACCAGTCTCTCCAAGTGAGGAAGAGTAGAATGGAAGCAGAAGCAGGAGGATCTCTGTGAGTTCTAGGTCAGCCTGGTCTACGGAGGCTGCAAAGGCCCTTACTGTTTCCTTAGGCCGTTTATCAGGACCCATTTCATGTCCCCCGTTTGAAAGCACAGAGCCCCACATACTTTCCTGCCAAAAGAAACCAAGACTATGGTTTAGGAAAAGCATGTGATAGACATGATAATTAAGATTCGTCCTTACAGTTCTTTGCATCTCCAGAGTTCTAAGGTTGACTGACTACACCTGTAGAGGCTCCTGAGAGCTTTCTATAGCCAGGCTGTCACCCTCCCTCATCCTGTGGGGGACTCCATTCTGACAGGGAAGAGGAGATTCAGTGATCTGAGAGAATCTGTGGCTGAGAAAGGAATAAACCCTTCGTGCTGTCAGACTCTGGGCTCAGCCTCCTCCTCCTCCCCGGAGGGGGCAGCCTGGCTGTCCCATCATGGGCTACTGGCCACAAGTCGGGAAACACACTGACCCAAAGTAAGGGCTGCCTGCTATAGAAAAATATTTTGTGCTCCCTGTCATAAGGGTTCTTTAGAACGTTTTTAAAGACCACAGAATCTGCCAAATAAAATCAGAGACAAAGACTCATGTGAGCAGCACGTGAGGGGCCGCAGACACGGCTCGGCAGCTGGGTGAATGCAGGTTCAGCTCTTGCAGAGGACCCAGGTTCAGTTCTCAGCACCCGCATATGGCTCACAACCCCTGGTAACACCAATTTCAGGGGACCCGATCCCCTCCTCTGACCTCCATAGGCACCACATGTACGGGGTCATAGACATGCGTGCAGGCAAAACATTAAGAAATGTAGAGTAAATGAATCTCAAAAAGAAGGAAGGGCGTGTTGTGTCCTCCTGGGTCCAGCTGTTGTTTACACCCTGGCGTAGAAGCAAAATGGCTGATTTCCTGTTACCTCTTGTCTCCCTTGTTTATTTTCTTACCCTCTGACTAGGTTTCTACTTAACTGTAGAATCTTACAGTTTAACAAGTCATATTAATTCACTCAGACAGATCTCCAGAAACCCAAAGAAGTGTGGTTGATACCGGAAGCTAAAATGGAGCTGAGGGTGCTGGTGTGTGCGCCTGGGATTCTAGTGTTGGGAGACAGAGGTTGGAGGGAGGGTCACTGCAAGTGAGAGCCACCACCCCCCTCAAAAAATACAAAGGCAAAATGGTAAACAAAATGGGGGTACTTTAGGTTAGTTAACATGGAATGAGGGTGTTGGTAAGTGTTTGAGCTTGACAGAGTCAAGAAAGAAAAACGATGATTTGATCTTGGCCATTTGCAAGGCTCACGCCCTCAGCACCATCTTTGGAGATATTGGCTCTTCTAGTTTATTCTGGAGCCCTGATGGTGCGTGTCTGTGGTGCTGCATGATAAAATAAAAGACCCAGAGACTGATATTGGGGTTCAAGCTTCAAGCAGAAGATCAGAAAAGCAAAGCAGCTGGGTACTTGCTCTTACTCTACCTCAGATAGAAATGAGATCCTGGCTCCACCAAACCTCAGACTGAAGCCTCTCCTCAGTGTGGCTGGAGAATCCTGAGACTTCAATGTCTTCCTGTCCTCAATGTGGCTGCAGAATGAATCCTGATACTGACTACTGAAGCCTCCCCCTCATGTCTTTTATACCCATCTAGTTCTGAGATTAAAGGCGTGCCACCCCAAGGGCTGAGATCATCTTTGTGGGAGTTCTCTTTAGGACTGGATCACTCTTGTGTAGATCTGGGTGGCCTCCTACTCTGCCTCTTAATCCTAAATCCTAGGATTAAAGGCGTGTATCACCACTTCCTAGCTTCTGGAAACAACAGCAAACTTAGCGATTGCTGCTCCTGCATGGTTTCATTGTCCGGTCCATCACCGCCCCCTAAACTTTACGACTGATGTAATTTTTCCTTGTCAGCAAGTTTGAATGTAGCTTTGTGGCAGCTCTTGATAGCAGGAGCATGATGCAACGATGAGTGGAAAAATGCAGAGTCTTCTAGGTTGTGGTCTAACCTGTTTATTTATGAAAATCTGCTTTGTTGAATTTATGTCATGTTCTTGGATCTTCCTAGGGGTTTTGTGTGTTAGGCGGTGCCCCCGTGGTTCAGGAGTGTTAGATGGTGCCCCACCTGTGGGGAGTATTTGGTGTACGATCTGAGATAATAGTTGCATGGACAGCTGGAAGATGACTTCTCCCTTGGAGCTGTGAAACTTCCCCCAAGAGTCAAAACCATTACCGTGGAGGCAGAGCAGAGGATGTCTTACAAATGACATGGGGAGTTGAAACGCTCAGGCTCCTCACTGTTTAATTCACCATGTGATCCCCAGACTGCCTGCAGGCAGCCCCCAAGTCAGACTCTTTTCATGGTGCTATAATTCTAAGGATAGGTATTTTGATAGTATATTCCAAAACTATTTCAAAAATGATATTGGCAGTGATGATAGTCATCAACATGTAATTGAAATTTCCTTGAATGATTGATTTTTGTATAAACTAACACAGTATGGTCATAGGTGGCTGCACAGGTTGTATAATGTGCATTTTGGGGTGACGCTGTTCATATGGACTCCAGTGAGAGGTGCATAGAGAGGGCGGTATCCTTCAATTGAATCACATACCCATCCATTTCGTTCTTTCCTCTGGAAAACAGAAATTCTTTTAGTGAAGCATGTTGCAATTATGATTTGATTGCAGGCCATTTCAGTTGTTTATTCATTTAGATTAACCTTAGTTATTATCCACCGGGAACTCAGGAGCTGAAAACCGTTGTGATGCTGTTTTTCTGCTAGGGGCTCAGAAGTGAAATGAATTTGCTTCATGGCCAGAAGTTTCGCTGTTGATAGGCAAAGACAGTGAATTTCACAATCACTCAAGTGTTAGGATGAAGCCTATTTCCAAGCTCACTTTCCCACAGATAATATGATCAAGTTGGCGATTTTACAGCGGTGCAAATGAGGAATTTGTTATGTGTTTGTATTTATCTCTGGTAGAAAAATTTATTTATGACCTCATACTAGTTGACGATGTTAGTAGGGAGATGTAGTTTATGTCTCTGTGTTATTAGGACAAGGAGACTCTAGACTCATCCTTGTTCCTGGAGAGGTGGGTTGAGAAACTAAAGTGTTTGCATGAGGCTCATAGCACGGACCTGGGTGTGAATGGATCTGGGATGCATAACCTGACAGTAACCCCCAAACATCAGAGAATAATAAAATGCTGTGAAAATTACCGTCTTTGAAATAAAACCATGGAAACTATGGTTACATAGCCAACTGTATAATGGAAATAATACAGGAGAAAGGGCCAAAGTGAACTAATTTTTTCCAAACCGATTTCTCGGTTTCTTTTGCTTTGTCGTGGTGGCGGGGGCTATGGAATTGGAGGAAGGAGGTGAGAGCTTTATCTGTAGGGAGATCAAAACCTCACTCTTACAGACTTGTCCTTGGAGACTGTCTATCTGGCTATAAAAACTTCAGGGCGTATGTAACATATATTGCTTGGTAGAGCTAAGTGATTTTTTTTTTAAACTGTAAAATGTGTACTTACAACTCTTTAATGTGTTTTGCTTTCCAGAGACAAACCCAAATTATCCTGAAGACCTCTATGAAGGTAGCTATCATGTTTCTTCACTCTGTATTTTTTCAGAATGTTTGTGTGTAACGTAATAAATCAGCTAGAAGAATACCTGTAAGCTGAGTTAAATACACATTTTTAAGTGCTATGTGGGTCAAAATAATATCTCAAGTATCGCCCAGTATTGATGGCTCTTTTCCCCTGGCGTTTACAGTGCCTGTAAATAGCACTTTCTTTCTCAGGTTCTCTTCTTGGAAGCAGTAAATCCATTCTGCTCTTACAGACATCGTGTTTCCGTAATTGGGGACTAATTACCTGTTTAAAAGCCATGGCAACCAAGGGAAGGGAGGTGGATCACCTTCAGGCCATGACAGGAACACATATGAAACTGCTTCTTGTCCAGTGCAGAGGGCCACTCATGGACAGAGCTTCAAAGGGCCTGCCTGGGGCAGCTGGCCCAGCCACTGGATGGTGTCATCAGGACTCCTTGTCCCTACTGCACCTTTCACCATCCACTGATGAGCTTTGCTGGGGACTGGTTCCCTCTGTGGTGTGAGCGGATGCTGTGGAGTGACTGACCCAGCCATGTGTTATGAGTAGGTTTTTCTGCTGGCTGGTCTGGTCTCAGAGCCGCGCCAGCCCCAAATAACACACAGAGACTCTGTAGCAATATATAATTCTGTTGGCCAGTTACTAATTTCTTGTTGGCTAGCTCTGTCTTAAATATTAGCTCATTTCTATTAATCTAAGTACTTCCATGTGGTCTTATCTTACCGGAGAGAGGGGCTGGCGTTGTTCTCTCTCAGTCCTCCATCTTGGATCTCCTCCCTACTCTTCCGTAATCCTCCTCGTCTCCTAGTCCCACCTATCGTCCTTTCCTATTGGCCAACAGTGCTTTATTCATTAACCAATACAAGAAACATATTTACAGAATGGCATCTCCCATCATCTCCTCTTTTCTGTCTAAAATACAAAGGGTTTTAACCTTAGCATAGCAAAATATATCACACAACAGTTATCAAATAAGATTCACAGTTAACAATATTTAGTCCATTAACATTTAGTAAGACTTAAAGAAAATATTCTATTATCTATCCTATCTTTGTGTATCTAAAGTCCTATATGTAACTTATCTTTAATCCTAAGTAAGGAAAACTGTAACCATAACTATCAGTCTTCAACTCCATCAAAGACCACAGAAGGATAATATATAAACTCTAGAAATGACAGAGACATCTCACTGCCTGGTCAGTCACTAGAAGTTCTTCTGTAAAGTTCCATCTTCAGCCTGTAGGCCATAGTGTGTCTGGCAGACTCCTCAGCAAAGCAGGAAACTTTAAACTGTCTACCTGTATTGGCAGTTTGTCAGTCACTTTTCTCTATGTCCTGTAGACTGTCTAGCAGACTTTTCTTCCATGAAGCAGGAACCCTGTAGCAATGTCCATCTTGAATCAGCAGTCACTTTTCTGTGGGTCCTGCATGTCCAGTTGATACAGCATAAAGTCAAACAGTCAAGAAAAGAGCAGTATCTTGTCCAAATGGCTAGTCTTGCCATATTGAAAGCAAACTTCATAATGCCTTTCTTCGATGTCCATCTTTCTTTCTGAAGCAGGTGGTGTTGCCAGGAACAATTATGTCTCACTGTCAAGAATAACCCTAAACCATTTTAAATGCCATATTCTGTAGGTCTTTGAAAGGTTTGAAGAATGCCTATTCATCTCAAGTACATCTCTGTATATCTAGAAATCCTAACAAACTTAACTCTAAGTTTTGACTATCATTGGTAACTATCTATAATCTGTGCTAAATTATATATTACATTTCTAAATGAGCTATATAAACACAATACCTAAACAAGAGGAGAAATATATATATATCACAAAATTGACCTTAAATTTGTATCAGTAAATGAAACTCCATTTCAAAACAAAGTATTCATATCTATACCATAATCCCCTTACCTTTAAAAGAATTGGTTGTGATCATTAACCATTTATAACCAAACCCATTTAAATGAAAATAAACATTTATAGATAATATTTGGGTATTAGGGCGTCATTCTTTCCAAACGTCTTCCTGTTGGTAGGGGGCGCTGTCATAGAGATCCTAAGAAGATGCAGAAATCTTTGCTGTAGTCTACAAGACTGCCTTGTCCCAACTGTTTTGAATGTTGGATCACCTGGAACACTGTTTCAGGGGGTCTGGCTTGATCAGATCATGTTAGTCTAGAAAGAATCCACAGTTTTTTATTTTCTGTGGAAACAAAAATAGAAATCCTTTTCCCTAGTAACCTGTCCTTAGACTTAAATTTTGGAGTCAAAGCATTTTTAAAATATATAAATTGAATTAATCCAGCAGTATTTCTTTTAATAGTTGTTGTTATTTCCTCAGCAGTCAAACAATTTAAAGACAACAGAACAGCATATAGTATCCAAAGTTTCTCTGTGCTTTTCATCTTTATGTGGCTTTTTTATTACTCTGTTACTTTTACTTCTATTTTTTTTCATTTTTTTTTTGAGACAGGGTTTGTCTGTGTAACTTTTATCTGTCCTGGAATTAACTCTGTATACAGGTTTACTTTGAAATCACAGAGTGTTGGAGTTAAAGGTGTGTGCCACCACACCCAGCTACTCTCTGTCTTTTTAAAACCATTTTATTCTTTTTCTTTTCAAGCCTACATATATTTTAAAACACACTGTAAAGCTTTTGAGGTTTTTCTTCATTTGAATCTGTCTTTACTGTAAATCTTTACCTTTTTCTCTCCACAAGTCTTTTATCTGGTAAACAACAACATTGCTAACATGCAAGCCATAGCTGTACTAGCCCCAGTCTATCCAAGATGGCGGCAGGTACTTTTACAGCCAGAACTGAGAGCTGTGCTCACTGCCTTGGTCTGTGCTGCCATCCAGCAGCATGCTGTAGGATTGGAGATGTGGTCACTGCCATTGCCAGCTCTCTTACACACCATTCAGTTGTTAGCAGAGATCTTTAAAAGCCCTGCGGGTTTTGTTTTGTTTTGTTTTTGCAGCTTATGCTGAGTCAGGAATCCTCCCTTAAAGGAGTCGCACAAGTCTCTGCTTGTCTCTCACAAAACAGAGTCCAACTGAGAAAAATGCTGCTACCAAGAAGCCTTGCTTGTCTCTGCTCTTTTGTTTCTAAGCTCTTTAAAGCTTTTGTTAAGTTTTAAGTGGAAGTTCTCAGGTCTGTCTCCTCCTTCCTCCTTCCTCCTTCCTCTTTCCTCCTTGTCTCCTTGTCCCGCCTATCTTGCTTTCCTATTGGCCAATAGTGCTTTATTCATTAACCAATAAGAGAAACATATTTACAGAATGGCATCTCCCATCAGCCATGGTCCATCTAACCTTTCTTATTACATAGCCTTGAGTTGCTAAACCCATCCCTGGAGTGCAGGCCAATTTTCCTGGGGGTGGGGGGGGAATTAAAACCTAAGAAGAGTGAAGTTCTTTCAGGAACATGGAAGAGGAGGGACCCAAAAGCTACATTAGTGAAGATTAGCTGCTCGTCTCTCCTCTGCTTGTTGGTTCAATGCCAAGGGTGCACTGATGGGCACAAACATGCTTTAGTGCAAACTTCCCAACGGCCATGGGATCAAGGAGCCACCGAATTTAGACAGGTGACAGGCTTTGTTTTGAGCTTGGGACTAAAGTTAAAAATGTTTAAAATTAGATTAGCTGGAATGTTATATTTTTACAAGTCCTTTGTTCCTTACTTTTGCACCTGCTTGTTCATGTTATCTGGCATCCCTGTAGCATGCCCTTCGGTGTCCATGATCATATTCAGCATTCACTGTGCAGAGAGGATGGACACTAGATAAGCTACAGACCACCCTATGCTGATCACATGTGTATTTAACTCCAGCTGATTTGAACTGGGAACTTCTCTGTGTTTGCATGCTAATTTACGTTGCATCCAAGTTGTGGCTTAGCTGACTCTTGTGCAAGTGATTTGAATGTGTGCTTTTATTTGACCTGTTGGGACTTTAAGAAAAACACGTCTCAGATTAGCCCATACAGCATGAGGTTTGAACAGTGATTTTTACGTTTTAAAATTATGTTTTGAATTTCTTTTCAGTAACTTCAAAACATTAGAAATGTCATCTTTCCCGTGGCCTCCTTTTCCACTTCGGGCCTTTTGGCTAAGATGCCATGGTTTTAAACTAGCGACATTTAAAATGGTCTACATTTTGCCTGGCTACTTGGCTATACTACAAAGAAAAATTAGTAAATAAATGATGTCTGCTTATGTTTGAAATCAGTGAGTTTTAAGATATTCCAAATAAACATTGTTAAAATTCGGGTTTTGGCATTAAGAATACAACAACAAACAAAGAAAATAAGTGCTTTTTTTCTGTTATTTTTTTCACTTGCATTCAAAGGACTATGCTGTTAATAAAAATGTAATTTGAATTGTTTGCCCTGAAGCCAGCATGATGATCCTACCAAGGGGAGCTTGGCTGGGGCTGAGCTAATGAAGTGGCTTTTGCCGGATGAAAAGGAGGGGCGCTGTTCTAGCTAGAACTTCAACACAGACACAGTCAACTGTCTGCAGTCAGTGTGCTGGCAGTTTTCTGTGATCAGTAATAAGAACAAATCAGTCACCTAATCCATGCAGACTAAGGCTGGCCTAGAACATGCCAACAGACTTTAGGATTTATGGCAACCAAGACATGTCTGTGTGCCTAGTTATTTTGCTGGCCTATTCAATGGAATATTGGTGTGTCTGAGCTCTTCTGATAATTCCTCCGTGGACCTAAGTTCTACCCTGGTGCTCACACCAGGCTGCATCTGAAGGCCTCGTCCTATTCTCCTGCCCAGACATCGGTGTTTCCTTTCCATCTGGGAGGCTGTGTGGCTCCGATTCCCTAAGCCTCATCATCTCACTCTCAAGCTTTGGAACTGGCAGCCAGATCTGCCCTCCAGAGAGTTCACGTGAAAAATACCCCTGGCCCCCATTCTTGTTTGTTTTAAAGATGGCATCAGTAAGGCCATGATGCTTCCGCCCTTCAGAGCAAAGGAGGAGTCTTAAAGCAGGTTCAGAATGACAAGCAGAACTGAGACAGGGGGAGGGAAAATGAACGCTCTTGCCCAGCTTTTGTGTGGTCTCATCCCTGCGTGCATTGGGCAGAGGAGCCAGGCGCATTCCTGCACAGCCAGGCTGTCCTGACAGTGGTTAGGACTCTCTGGATCTGTCTTGCCTTGTGTGGGATCTCACTGTGGCCCTGTGCGTGTTGGCAGCCCACTGATGACTTCTTATTCCTCCTCTTTCTCTTGTCTCCAATTGAAGACTGGACAGCAGCAACCGACATCGGGGACACTACGAACAAAAGCAACGAAATCCCTTCCACAGATGTTGCTGACCAAACCAATCGGGAGCATCTCTCGGTGAGTGGGGTAGACAGGCACCTCCTGGGTTGGTTATGACAATTCTAGACACTTACACGCTAGAGGAATTGTCACTGCTTCCCTAAGACATGGTTTGCAAGTAGGGTTAGGCCTTACATTTTTAACCAGGCTTGGAAAAGTATCCAAAGAGGAATAGTGCTTTGTGACAGGAAAGTCCTATGAAATTCAAAATTTTAATTAGTTTTTTATTATATTATGTGGATGAGACGATCAGACTAGGTTGCCAGCAGCTATTATAGTTGCAATGCCTTCACGATGCCTTCAACGTTTCTGTCAGCAGTTCCTGTCAGCATCTTGTCCTGTAACTCTTCTTCTGATACAACAGTCTTCCCTGTAAGCAGAAATTATTTATGCATCAAATGTCTACACCATACATAACTGAAATTTTAAAAATTTCCACAAAATGGAAAATAACATTTTATCTTACATTTTTCTATATGCCCCTGGGTTAGAAAATGCAGTGCGCACGTGCGCGCGTGCACACACACACACGTATATATTCGTGATAGGGTTTCTCAGTGTAGTCTTGGCTGTCCTGGAATTCACCCTGTAGCTTTTAACATTGTGCTCACCACTCCTGCCTTCCTGTGTCAGTTTTAACATCATGTGTCAATCACACATGGCAGCTAGCATAGCTCATTCTGCTTCGGTGTCTTGGGTACACTCTTAGGTTTTTCAAATGATGCAATGGGAAACCATTTGACAAAGAACAAGAACTTAAACAATTTAGCAGGGAAGGCAAGCAGCAAGCTCTGCAGCCAGTTTCCTCTGTCATTCTTGTACCGGGGGATGCATTTGGTTATGTAAGTCATCTTTGTGCGTGTGCGTGTGTGCGCACGTGTATGTGTGTGTATGTGTGTGCGCATGTGTGTACGCATGTGTGCGCATGTGTATGTGTGTGTACGTGTGTGCACATGTGTATGTGTGTGTGCACGTGTGTATGTGCGTGTGTATGAGTGTGTGTATGTGTGTGTGCATGTGTATGTGTGCGTGTGTATGAGTGTGTGTGCGTGTGTGTGTACCTGTGTGCATGTGTGAGTATGTGGTGTGCACTTATATGATGAGTGTGTCTATGTTTGGGTGTGCCTCGGTGTTTGTGTGTAGGTTACAGGACCACTTTCTGCTGTGGTTCCAGGGCTTGGGTTTTTTACCCTTGGAATCACCTTGCCCACCCAGTAGCCACTTTTTCTCACTGGGAAGGACACGTTCTAAGATATCTAGCAGATGCTTGAAATTTCAGGTAGTTTGAAACTTGGCTGTGTTTTTTTTCCTACAAAAATCCACAATAAAGTTTGATCTATAAACTAGGCTTGGTAAGAGATTAAAGGCACCAATAAAAATTTAGCAATTATAACAGCGTAGTCTCAGTCATTTTGCTTGCAGACACTACTGAACATTAGCTCTGCAACGGCATGCCAGTGTTTCTTACGGTGAGTGAGGACAATGGTGATTAGCGAACACACCAGTGGTCCACGCAGTGTGGGTATGTTAGGCATGCTTGAAGGAGATGGATTTGGTTAGAAGAAGGTGGTTCACCAGCACTCACAAAGGAAGCCTTGCCACTCAGTGAGTGACATGCAGGCTGGTGAGGCTAAGTCCATACCCAGAGTTTTGCTGAAGTGTCCCGAAACACTGAGGAGCTCTGATGCGGCAGAAGGACCGCTATCAGACTCTTGCACAGCCAGGCCGTTGCCGGTGGCCTTTGGGTGCTTTGTGACTGACTTAGTGCTGTTCTTATCTGACTCCAGACAGTGGAGCTGCACAGTGATTACCCTTGCATTTTTATTTTTCTGTCTTCATTGTGAACCAGACACTGGTGAATAAACTACAGGTTTCTTTTTCTCTTTTTAAAATATCTGGGCAGACTGGTTCAATTCCAATCTGTGTGACCTTGGGATGTTTATTTGCATTTTTATGAGTTTTAGTTTTGATAGTGTCTTCATCCGTACCACCGTCATCTTAATTATTATGTTATTTACTGGTTAGTTCACTGTATGAACCCACCGAGGATTCTACAGTCCTCAAGCCAGAGAACTATTAAACGTGAAGATTACGAGAAGCAGAGGGGTATGTCTGAATTTCACACCCAGGGTATGCTATGCTGTAGTAACAGACATCCCCACAGCTTAGTGGCTAAACACCATCAGGGTTTCTCTCCCTGCCTGTGTTACTGGGAGTCTCTTCAGCCTCGTCCGCCCTGACTGTAGCACCTGGCTGACTTGGTTTTCATTACATTAGGGAGAAAGCTTCAGAAGCAGGAACAGCTTTGACACTGTTGGTTTTGGGGATGCGTAACTCTAAGGACTGGCCCCGGTTGATGGTGAGCAGACTCCTGGCGTTTATCCACTAGGACCACCCCAAGCCCCACGACAAAACCTAGAGTTGCCGAGAGCCTTTGAGTGGCAGCGCCATTGCTTGTTGATAACCGGGACCTTTGACTGCACCTCAGATTGGCAAGGACAGTCTCCACCCTTGTTAACACCAGTTTCAGTGAGTGTGAGAAGGCAGGGAGTGCATTTTCCAGAAACAGGAGCCAAGATCAATTAGGTAAGGGGTATAAATGATTACCTTAGAGGGAAAATAATACTGCTTTAAAGGATGTCCCACAGAGTGAACGACACACAGCATTTATGTTTTTTAGTGATAGTAAGCACTGTCAAAGGGCAGCATCAGTTTTTATGAGCAAAGCTTTATTAGAACATGACCTTGTAAAAATTTTTTTTCCCCACATCTTTTATGGCTGTTTTCAACTTACACCGTAGAACCGAGTTCTTGCTACAGAGGCCATGTGCCTAGCAGAGTCTAAGTACATTCTGTCTGACAGAGTGTAACAGAAGTTTGCCAACCCCCTGAACCTTGGTGTGCCGGTTGATTTTTGTCAGTTGACACAAACAGACTCACCTGGAAAGACAGACCCTCAGGTGAAGGATCGCCTCCACCTGATTGGCCCAGGGGCATGTCTGTGGGGCGTTTTCTTGATTGATTGTTGATATGGATTAATTGTTGGTGGAGCCACTTGGTGGGTGTTCTGGGATGTGTAGGAAAGAGAAATGAACAAAGCCATGGGGAGCAGAGCGGTAAGCTGTCTTCCTCCACATGCTTCCTGCCTCAGGCTCCCACCATGGCTCCCCTTAAATTGTAATATGAAAAAAAACCCTTCCTTCCTGGGTTGCTTTTAGTCATGGTGTTTACCACAGCAACAGAAAGAAAACTAGGATTCTTCATCTTTGTTTCTACAAAGTCACTGTGTCCTTCAAGTAGCAAGAGGCTCCTATGTCCCCAGGGAAGCAGAGGTGGCAGTGGGCACCGAGTTTCCATTGGCACCTCTGTCTGGGGTTGTGACAGAATTCACACAGCCACACGTTCTACTTGCATAACTCACAACTTGTAATTCCGTTTTTAAAGACGTAAAAGCCCTTTTCTGGCCTGTGTCATCCAGTGATGTCCACCTCCAGTCCTGTTCAGGGCTGTGACATACTGTAAAACACTGCTCTGCTTCCAGCATGCCCTGGCTCCTACAAGCTGTGACATTAACTTAAAAAAGGGTGTTCACCATGAACAACTTTTAATCATGTAAAAAGTAATCAGAATAGTAAAATCAACCCCACTGTATCTTTGACTAGCATCAAACTATTAATATATTTCCATCCATCACCTCTTCCTTCTCCTTCCCCTTTCCTTTGCTCTGGATGGGTGGGTGGGTGGGTGGGTGGATGGGTGTGTGGGTGGGTGGATGGGTGGATGGATGGGTGGGTGGATGGGTGGGTGGGTGGATGGATGGATGGGTGGGTGGGTGGATGGATGGATGGGTGGATGGGTGGGTAGATGGATGGGTGGGTGGATGGATGGGTGGATGGATGTGTGGGTGGATGGATGGATGGATGTGTGGGTGGGTGGGTAGATGGATGGGTGTGTAGATGGATGGGTGGGTGGGTGGATGGATGGATGGGTGGGTGAGTGGATGGATGGATGGGTGGGTGGGTGGATGGATGGGTGGATGGATGGATGGGTGGGTGGATGGGTGGGTGGGTGGATGGGTGGGTGGGTGGATGGGTGGGTAGGTGGATGGGTGGGTGGATGGATGGGTGGATGGATGGATGGGTGGATGGGTGGATGTGTGGGTGGATGGATGGGTGGGTGGGTGGGTGGATGGGTGGGTGGGTGGATGGGTGGGTGGGTAGATGGATGGGTGGGTGGGTGGGTAGATGGATGGGTGGGTGGATGGATGGGTGCGTGGGTGGATGGATGGATGGATGGGTGGGTGGGTGGGTGGATGGATGGATGGATGGATGGGTGGGTGGGTGGGTGGGTGGGTGGGCAGATGGGTGGGTGGGTGGGCAGGTGGATGGGTGGATGGATGGATGGATGGGTGGATGGGTGGGTGGATGGGTGGATGGATGGAGTCACAGACCTGATTATTCACGCAGTATCATTTGAGGTCCATTCATAAGTTTAGAGTAGGCATCACAATAGCAAGTGTTCAGGAAATGCTAGCTGCCATGGCCATCACTGTCATCTCAGTGCAGGGAATGGCTTTGCAAGCTCATCACAGCCGTGTCCTCTCTCCAGGTCTATGCTGTGGTGGTGATTGCGTCTGTGGTGGGATTCTGTCTGCTGGTGATGCTGCTTCTGCTCAAGTTGGCAAGGCATTCCAAGTTTGGCATGAAAGGTAAGCAGAACCATGCTTATTTTGCTTCTTAAGTGGACTCATTTTTGGCTCATGACTAATGCTAATTATCACTAAAGGAGGAAGTGGCTGGATTTATGATGACTGGTTTTTAAGTTGGAAAAATAGCAACAAGGGCATAATACTACAGATCAAGACAGAACAAACTCATGATTACTCAACACTGCCCACTTTTCTGAGAACACAGTTGTCCCAGGAAGCATGGACTGGTTTCTGCAGGATGGACTAGCTCAGCAGTGTAGGCGTGGGACAGTGCTTCTGTGTTCCTATTGTCCTCAGGTGAAGTCAGGGACAGGGAGAGACTATCGACAGTCATGGGCACATGTGCCATTTCCGTTGTATGCTGGGATTACCAGTCTTCCATCACCTGCTTATATATTCTCATTTTTTTTTTTTTTTTTTGGAAAATTAACACCACTAGAAGCAAAATAAGGAAAGCCACCGTGGTAGAGTGAGCAGTGCTTGGGCTGGTTCCTATGTATGTGGGGACAATTCCCAGGGCTGAGAGCCCATAGTCATGTTACCATGAGCAGATAAGTGATTCCCCTTAGGCTAATGGATTGTGTTGAGGGGTGGGCATGAGGAGACACTTGAACATGTGCTTTCATATAAAAGTGAAGAGTCCCCGTGACTGAAGCATTTGCTGTGATATTTGAACCTATGAGATTACTGTACTTTGTGTGGTCTCTGACAGCTTGGGACTGTGGGTGCCTTGGAGGGAAAGCTGTAAAGAGCATTTGGCAGAGGATGGGGGCTGTGGGTGCCTTTACCTGTGTGGTCAGTGTCAATGGCTCTGACCCTGCTCGTCGCTTGGAAAGGGATGCTGAAGCAGCAGTATCTTGGCCAGCGTAATGGGCCCAGGAAGGGATGTTCCTTTCTGCTGTTTCCTCCCCTCCTGCTTTTGGTGACTGAGATGGAGATTTCTCAGTTGTCATCTATTCAGACATAAAATAAAACGTGATAAAACCTTTCCAATCTTACTGTGACCATCTCTTAGTCTGTGGTAGTCCCTTAGGGGAGAAGCCCTTTCCTTACTCTGGTATACTAGCAGGGAGATCTGGGAGGAGGCTGTACCGAGTGGCTGGAGTTATTGTGCCGTGGCTCCCTGAGCCTAAATGGGTGCCAGAAACCTACAGGGAAACCAGTATTGCAGGGCTTCCTCCAGATATAGTCGGGTCTGCGTGGATCAGAAAACTGGCATCCTAACAGTTTTCGGGGCTGCTCATGCTATTATCACCCGAGCCTTGAAAGTCGTTAATCCCAGGTCATGGATGTGGACTGCCACATCTCTCTCCTAGTGTGACAGTGTGAGGTTGCCATGCAATCCAAACAGCCATTTCTCCCCAAGCCACCAGCTGGACTAGCTGTCTGCTCCCCCACGTGCTGGGTGCGAACCCTGAGCATTTATGTTTCTCATCTTCACCAGGTGCTTTATTGCCTTGGGGGCATTCTGAGAACGTGTCCCCAAGCACAGCTTACACTGGAGAGCAGCAGGCTCTCGAGGCCGAGACTCCTTTCTTGAAGGATTTGACTGGAGGAGTTTCATCTGTGGATTCTTCTGAGAAAGGACATGTCCGAGCCCCTCTGGGAGCTCTTTAGAGGTGCTGGGAATCCTGGGAGTGTGAGTTGGGAAGTCTTCCTGATAATAAGAACTGTCTGTAAACGGCAACCTAGTTTTCTCAGTGACTCAGCCATGGAAGGAGACAAAGGTAGATGTTTGTTTCCAAGAAGGTTGTGTTGCATACTGTAACCCCAGAACTTAGAGCAAACCCTATTTTAAATGGATAATTTGGGTGATTACCATCAAACGCCTGCATTTTTCTGAACACAAGCCAAGGGCGTCCTTAATGAGTCGGGAGGAAGAACTTGCTTGGCCTTGAGCAGGGCAGTCAGTGGTGTCTCCAGGGTTAACAGCTATAGGTGTGTTTTTCTCCCTGACCCCTAAACATAAATAAAAAAGTACATTAACAATGTTGTCTCAAGGACTCACGTTCCTTTTGGAGCAGCTGGGGTTTATTTTATTTTTGATTCCTTCGACGTATCAGTCTGTGGTACGGTGCACATAAACTGACCCCAATCTGAGGCTTTTGCTTAACAAGATGATGCTGAGTACGTCATCTTTGGGGATCTAGAAATTAAGATGGGGCTCATGTGTCAAGCGCAAACAAAACTAAACATAAAGTGGTGTTTAAAAATTAATGTGTTAATGCACTTTCAATGCTGTTAGAGTGAGGATTATGCTCAAAACATATGTCCCGAAATGGGAAGGCTATGCGGACATTGTACTTCTGAAACAATCAGACCAAAATCCCGGTCATGGTTTCTTCGGAGCAGTAGAAGGGACTGCATCACTTGGCCAGAAGTGTGGACTCAGAGAGGGGCAATGGCAAATATGGCTAGGGCAAATGAAGTTTATACCCTTACAAGAGTCTTTAGTGGGGTTTGAACCCCAGTATATTTTCTGTCTCAGGAACAAATCAAGACAGAGAATGGCTGTCAGCCCAACCGTCAGGCATCCAGGGCTTTGTGTCCATGTCGCTGTATTCATTTTGCACAGCTATTAAGGAATAACTAAATATCTGAAACAAGGTCTGTTCGGATCACAGTTAGGAAGTCAGAAAGCTCACCCAGCACACTGCCACCTCTCCTGAGGTGAGGCCTCCCTCCGCCCTTGCCAGACACAGAGGAAGGTTGAACAATGGGGAGACACCAAACCATGCTTCGTCCGGAAGTCGGAAGGGCAGGGTTGTCCGCTCTTCCTCTTTTATCACTCACGCGAACTAACTCATCCTGCAAAGTTAGCAGTAACTCCTTCCGCGGGCAGCGCCCCAGTGACCTAGCCACCACCCAGTAGGGCCTATCTCTCAAACATCCCATTCGACTTTTCAACACTCCCATACTGGCTCTGGTTTTCCAACACGTGGACGTTGAGGGCAGCATCACTTATCTTGCATGTCAACCATCTCGATTTGGGGCATAAGCTTTCAAATCATGAACTAATGGTTTAATCCAGTTGATTTGAAGAGCCTGGGGTAATGCATGCCAGAAACCTCTGGCTGCCATGCTGTAGCAGGGAAAGAAGGACGAGCCTCATGAGTACCCCAAATATTATTTATGAGATTGCTCCCGAGGGAAATGACCTCTACATTGCAAACGGGGGAGTTGTTAAGTGGGGAGTGGGGGAACCCAGCCGGAGAGCTGCGGTGTTGTCTTTGGAGCTGGAACCAAGTGAAGGCTGAGGCTCCTTTGTTCCGATGCCTTGCCTGCTCACTGGAAGCAGGTTGCTGATAGTGTAGCCCAGCACAGGTAGGTACTGACTGTCAGCTCTATCTGTCTGCTCATTATCATTTACTCAGTGCCTAGTCCAGCTGGTACTCAATAAATGCCAATTGAATGAATTATTAGAGACAATTGCCATCTTCATGCAATGTCTGTTGTTAATGGGCAAGGACTTACTCTCTGGACCATAACTCACAGGTGAATGGCTAAACAGAGACTGGGTTTCTTCCTAGTTTTCCAAAGGGACAGACCCCATTGTTGGTTTCTAGTTTCCTGTGACTTGAGACAATTGGAGGTCATTGACAAGAAGTTGTCTGGGCAGGTCCTGTCGCAGGGTACTTGCTTCTAAGTTTGCAAGGCGTACTTTGGTTATCAACTTTGTGTAGGGATGTCTTCAGTTGCTGCCTTGGAACATGTGGCTTTAGGGTTTGTGTCTTCATTCAAACCTGAAGTTGGCAGAATGTCAGCTGGTGACTCACGTTTTGCCATTAACCCAGAATTTATTTTTCACCCTTGCTTGTTTACTATAGTTTAAGCATCTTGTTGCTAATGTCTGATAGGCTATTGGACTTGTGACAGTAACAATGTCAAGTGGTAGATTTTTCTCCTTTCCAATTTCTCCTTTTTATTTCTGTCCAGTTACTTGTTTTGTTGGACATCTAGCTATTATTAGCATAGAGGAGTTCCAAAAAAAGTTACTCTATTAGTGTTTGGCCATGTGCACTGGGTTATTCCTATGCATATTTAATACCAATACATGGAATATGTTGTGAGTCTTCCTACATTTGTGACCGAATTGATATTCCTGTAAGTGTAATTTGATTCTTCTTCTTCTAAGGCTGCCTTCAGTTTATTTCCGTTACTTTTCAATGATATGGCTCTCAGAGAATTTTCAGAGCCTCTTGTTGCTAGGAACAATAGCGGGGACTTGAGCGTGTGGTGAATGCGTGCACTCCTGCTCTGACCCAGGCTCACTTGGATCTCTCATGGCTTCTTGGCCTCTCTGCTCCAGGAGGTAAAAGGGCACACGAGGGGAATGGAAGAATCCATGGCATATGGGTTGGGGTTCTCTGGAGGTTGTTCTGCACTGGGAGGCTGGCCACAGGCAGGGCTAGAAACATCACAAGGAGCCAGCAGGCTTGGAACTTAGCACATGGGTGAGGACCGGGCTTGGCTCTCCGTGTGCTACTTACACTCCCTGAGGGGTGTTTCTTCCTCAGCATCGATGCACCCTTTGGATTCCAGATTGAAATTTCACAGAGGCCCTAAGAGATCACAGGACACGGAGAAGGTGTCTTTTCTCTCTTGGCCTCAGCAGTCAAGAGATCTCGTCTCTGTAGCCCTAGGCTGCGTGTATGCATTGCCGATCTCAGAGCCTCCTTCTTCTTCACACTCAAGCCAGTGCTCCGAAATGACCTAGAGTGTCTTTCAGCACGAAGAATTCCACTCGCTTAAAAACGTTCATAAACACAGCAGGGCTGAAGCTAACTCTGCTGGCAGTTTCCGCCTTTTCTGTGAGCGCAGAACAGTCCAGAAAGTTGAAGAGTTGGAGCCCGACACATATTTGGATCGACTTTTCAAAGAGGAAAACATGTGACCAAAGCCAGAAACACGGTCACACAAACATCTGAAAAGACAAGCTTTTCCACTCGCATTTTTCACTTTTGAAAAAACTCGCAGTGTAGATAAATTAGAACGCTAAC